GCAGGAATTGATATTAAGCCTCTGCCAAGTTGCTCTACAGGCACGATGAGCACTGCAAGGAGCACACAGGTCTCACTATAACCCTTCAGTGATGGTGGATACCCCTGCAGCCACAGCATCTGCTGCATGTTGGCTGTCAAACTCTCTGTGCTCCCCGGGAGCTCCTCGTGGGCACTGTGAGCAGGTCAGCAAGTGCTGTGTCACTGCCCAGGTGGAAACTATTGTTCCTATGGTGTTTGTTGATGGACTGGTGGGGAGTCCTTGACTGCCTTGACAGGGTATAAATCCCCTTGTCCACATACCTGCTCTCCTTCAGCAGATGCAGAGTGCGCGAGATGAAGCTCCTCGTGTTAGCTACCCTCACCCTGCTTCTTTCCCTCTGCACCCCAGGCACAAGGGCACGTGAATACACCTCTGTCCTCACTGTGCCCAACGGAGGCCACTGGGGCAAGTGGGGGAGTCGGCAATTTTGCCGCTATGGCTATGCCAACGGATTTGCACTGAAGGTAAAATTCTCCCTATTTCCCACTATCTCCTCTCCCTGTGCCCTGGTATACAGCTCTCCACCTCCCAGGACGGTCTTCTCCAGAGTTTAAGGACTTTCTGCAGTGTTTTGCTGCTTCCTGAGTATGGTACTCCGTGCATAAAACAATGAGTCTTTTGGAAAAATTAGCCTAGAGAATGTTGCCACTATAGTTACACCGGTAAAGAAAAATAAGATTTTTTTTTTTTTTAATTTAGGACAAGAGATCTCCATTAGATACAGTAAAATCAGGGCTACTATCAGGATTGTTTTGCTCTCAAACTGGATAGAGGTGTGCTGGCAGATGCATGGTCCCCATGTGGCTGATGTTGCTGGGAGAAGCCACGTACGTCAGGGCTGAAGTCTGCTACTGGAGTCAGGGAGTGAGGCAGCCTCCTCTGGCATCTCTCCTGGGACTCAGAGTCTCTGTCTCACATGTTGGATCAGAAATAGTTGGAAAACACAAAGAAGAACGTGTAACAAGGGTTATGTACATACGTTACAGTTTCCCAGTGTGACAGACGTCTTTTCCCATATGTTTCCTAAGACATTTTCTCATTACAGAAAGGAGTTGGGACTGTTTCTGACTGACACTTGAAAGACTTTTCCTGGGGCTTCTCCCCCTTGCCTTTACCTCTGTCCCTGTGTGACTTCTACTGCAGGTGGAGTCCTCTCAGTTTGGAAGAGATGACACAGCTCTGAACGGCATACGTCTGCATTGTCAAGATGACTCAGTCATTGAGTCCTTGGTGGGGGGGTAAGTAACGCTGTGGTTTCTCCAGTTTGTCATGCACCAGCTTGCAAAATATCCACAGGTGTCACCCTTTGCAGGGATGTCTTCTCTGACTTGCTTTGCCCGCATAGTGCTGTCGCATAAAGCAAATTAAAACAGGTGGTTGAGGTTTTTGTTCATTCATTTTTCTGGTAATTAAACATGGTTACTTTACATTGCCACCTTCTGTTTGCTCTTGAAATGTCTGCAGAGCACTGTGAACACCTGAAGTACAGTCCTAGGGATAGAGTCCTTCTTTGGAAATCTGCAACACATGGGGCAAATGTGAGAAAAAGGGGTTTTAACTGTACGTTTAGAAACTGCTTGTGTGAAACCCTGGCCCTGCTGCAGGGGATGGAAATGTCTGCTCTTCCCACTGCCTGGTGTGTGCTTGTCAGACAGGTCAGGGATGCACCAGGAAACATGTGCTCAGGCTGTCTTTGGAGTTTCCACCAGAACCATAACTATCCAATCTCAGACTTACTGGTGTTTTTCTGATGAGATACCAATAAAGCAAAAAGTACATCCTTGGAAGAGAAGGGGAAAAAAAAAAGAGAATGTAACGGGGCCCAGACTGCAGCAGGATGTTGTGCTGGTCACTGCTGTGAGCAAGGAAGTGTTAAACTTCAGGGCAGCATGACAAGGAGAAGGAGCACTTCCCAGCAGTTTTCAGAGCCTGGATGTTCCTCTGTCTGCTTCTTGTTAGGTGGGGTACCTGGACCAGCTTCCAAGTTTGCCCTGGAGGCTACCTGATCTCTTTCTCACTGAGAACAGAGAAGTCCCAAGGAGGAGGTGATGACACAGCAGCAAACAACATCCAGTTCAGATGCTCAGATGCAACTGTGCTAATAGGTGATGGACTATCATGGGGTAGATTTGGCCCATGGAGCAAAAGCTGCAACATATGCGGTCTCCAGACCAAGGTAGAACCCCCACAGGGGCTTCAGGATGACACAGCACTCAACAATGTGAAGTTCTTCTGCTGTAAATGAGCCCTTGCTCCATTCTTGTCACTGCCTACACATCCCATATCCCACAGGAAATGAAACATCAGTAAAGCTTGGCTCTGGCTTTATACTGGGACATCTGTGATGTTTTGACTGCTTGCATCTTGCCGTAACAGCTTATGCCTTAGATGATGATGTCTTTTACAGCGTAGCTTCTCGTAGTTACCAAAGTGCATTATGTTCACAAGAATTATCACATCATGTAACTGCTGGTATATCACTGCAAAAATGCCCAATCTCTGGCAATTGCTCAGAGCTGAGGAACAGATTTCTCAACTTTTTTTTTTCTCTGACTGATAAGTTTCTCTCGGGTTCACTCTGCCCGTTTTTTCCTTGTTTGAAATAATGTTTGACCTGTTGACAGAACAAACAGGGAAGAATGGGTATTAGTTTGAATATCCTTGAGGTTTCTGACCAAAGAGAAAATGACCAATGAGAGCTAGATGGGGTGAAATAGAAATTTGGGTAGGCTCATGAGAAGTGTCAAAGGTTTGGCATCATTGCTCACTCCTAATTTTAATTGCCTTAAGACTGGTAGATTTACGAGCAATCTGTTAGCTCATACCTGAGCTCCTGCCTTAGGAAACATGGTTAGAAAGTGTGCTTACACTGAGCATCCATCTAAGTGTGGCTATGGGTGGGCAGTAGCTGCCCAAACCTCCCTTGTTGCTGCTTTGTAGTGTGCTCCTCTGGCTCACCTAGCTGTTAATGCAAAATTCCTTCGCATGGGACTTGTTTTTTCGTTTGTTGCCTCTAGATGCGCTAGATGTAAAGAATGTACTGTCGATTTGGGGAAAAATCATGCCCAGGGATCACTATTGTGCCCTAACGTCTGAGCCACTGAGCCTCTCTGACAAGAGTTTAAGACGACTTTTTTCCTCTCCAAACACCTTTTAGGAATTGTAGCTGTTGCTTTTCCCTCAAAGCAAATCATTATGCATCTTTGTGTACATGAAACAAGGTAGGGGCATGGTGGTGGCGTGTCCGGGTGACTGGTTGGGCTGTGGGGGTGTCATGTCCAGGACCACAGCCACATGGAGCAGCAGAGCCGATGAACAGAGGTTCTTTCTGCCAGTTTCCATCCTCTGCTTAACATACACACAGCAGCCAGCACCACTCTGGCTCTTCATCCATGTGAAATTTTCTTCCTGTCACTTACCTCAAAAAATACTCAAATAATAGCTGTATTTTCTTGGAAATGGAATATAGCAGACAAAAGAATAGAACAAATCTGATATGTACTTTGGTTAAAGGGTTTTGATAAAAAAAATAAGCTGTTTGCTTTTGAGTAGATCACGGGTCTGTCTGACTCTGTGTACTGTCTCTGGTGGCATTGCTCAATATCTAATGCTTGCTGCAATAAAAAGTTTCTCTGAGTCAGGGAGGTGATGAATATGAAATTTATCAGCAAAGCCAATGGCAATCATTGCATGTTTGTTGTTTGGTAACATTCTTCAATGCTGGTCTTTGGAGCACATAGCAATTTCTCATGATGCTTGTGTCATTTTCCCTCCCAGTCCTCATTTTTGGTAACACAGGAATTTTCCAAGTGGTGGGTGATGAGCAGAGAAGCCAACCATGCAGAACTCAGGACTGATTGCATCTACTGCAACCAGGAGCAGAATGAAACATTTCGCTTGGTTCTGGCTGTGCTGTACAGAGTGTTGCTTCCCATCTTCTTCTTCCTGAGGTGCAGCAGAGTAAATGGATGCATCTCCAATGACATCATTAAAAGTTACATCAAGTGAAGCACTTACCAAAGCCTCAGTGGTGCAAGAAGAAATCTTAGAAAGATTCCTGGATTGAATTAATTTATTTTTAAAAAAAATAATAGGAAATTTTCCAGCCAGACCTTCTGCTGCAAATTTGCATAGCTCTGATTTATTTCATCTCGAAATCTGATTTATTTCTTTACATTTTAAGCTGTTTTTTTTTTTTTTTAATATAATTTAGTATTTTTAGGTGATCCTTTAACTACTTTCTGTCCTCCTCTTGACTGCAAACATTTTAAGGGTGCAACTGATTTTTTAAATAAATGCTTATTTTGCAAAACCAGCCCAGTCCGCACTTGAAATACAAGGGATTATTAGCTTCAAGAAAGCATTTTGTAACTTCCATCTCCATTTGGGAAATTCTGAAAAAATCCTTATTTGTCATATATTCAGCTCTCTATAAACATTCAAATCCCTCAGCTCTAGTACTTAGTATCAAGAAAACCCTCCTGAAGTAGCAACCTTTTTCTAACAAGCTGAACTAAACTAAATTACAACTAAATTCTGGTGATATCACAGTTAACTGAGGTCAACAGTGACCACGTAGAAACTTACCTTTCCAAAGCCTGGAAAGTACCTTTGCTCAGACACTTCACAGAAGTCTTAGAGGGCCAACTACTGGTGACTTTCCACCAGAGCAAGTAGAATAAGCAAATTTCATTAAGCATTTTATATTATAGTGTTGTACGATCAGTGTCACCAGGAAATGTGGCAACAGGATATTTCAAGTGCTTTCTTTCCCAGCCTGTAAGTCATGCATCTTGGAAAGATACGCTGTGTGAATCTAAGTTGTGTGTTGTGCTGGGTTTGTGTGATGGGTTTCGGTAACAGGGAAGGGGCTGCAGAGGTGGCCTCTGTAACAAGTTGCGAGAAGCTTTCCCAGCTCCAAAACTGGACAGACCGGTCTCTGGCCGGGTCAGCCCCCTCATCCCCCCTGGCCAGGGCTGAGCCAATCAGCGCCTCTGCAAATGCCATATTTAAGAAGGGAACAAAGGAACCTGAACTAGGAGGTACCTGCAGAGAGGAGACGGGGAGGGTGGGGGCTGGCCCCTCTGGCTTCCCGGACAGGTGGTTGCCCATGCTAGGCCACTGCCACTTGACTGGAGACAGCCGTGGTGGTGTGGCTTGGAGAGCTCCAAAGCTCCCCGCTCCCAGGGTGCCTTCTGGGCAGAGTTCATCCTGCCGAGACTGATGAGGTTCATTGGGCCGGTTAGACCTGGTGTGGCTACAGTAGAGAGAGGAGTGAGATCTGAGAGAAACGGCCATGCAGACACCGAGGTCAGTGAACACGGAGCAGGAGGAGGTGTGCCGGAGCTGAGATTCCTCTGCAGCTTGTGGTGAG